CGGGGGGGGGGGGAGGATATTTCCTTCATATGTTGTTCTTTTCTTAGCTGATATAGGTCACAGATGGCTGCACTCCGCCGATTAGGATGCAGGGAAGAATGTTTCAATTTTACTGCACATGTACACTCAGATCCTAGGTTGATCTGAACTAACATAAATCAATGAAATTGTATCGATTTACTCCAGTCTATAATGCTTTTCTGCATTATTACTTGATCACAGTTGCAATCTAAACAAAGAACACAATCAACTGGACCAAAAAACCCTAACAACTTAAATGTGCAGAATAACTAAGCTGACACAACCTATCTGTAATTAGCTATGGATATATAGTAACATAAAGTGTATGTGTGTGGGGAGGAACTGCTGCCTTACTTATCACTCTTTGTGAATATTCTGTCAAATAAGTATAAATACAAACCTCAACCCCAGATCCAATAAGCAGCACACTTTATGAGATTTTCATTTTACATGTAATCTTCTACTTGGCAACTGTAACATATTCTATTGGTAAGGCTGAAATGAGATCCCTAATTTCTATAAATCTTTTAAACTTTAAAAAATATTGTTAAAATAATTTATGGAATGTATAAGTAACAGATTTATCATTATTTGCTTACTATTTCAACTATTATATTGCTCCATAGTGTTCAAAGCACTCTCTGGACAATTTACAACATACAGTGGTGCCCCGCTTGATGACCATAATCAGTTCCAGGAAAATTGCTGCTAAGCGATATCGTTGTCAAGCAAGAAAAAAACACACCATTGGAATGCATTGAAAACCGGTCAATGCGTTCCAATGGGGAAATACCTCATCATCCAGCGAATATTGCCCATAGAGAACCACCAATCAGCTGTTTAAAACTGCTGTCTTCCGAAGCAGGGGTCCAGAAAGCAGCCATTTTGAGAAGGGAGGGAAGCCATTTTATGAAGGGAAGCCATTTTGCGGAGCCGGAAAAATCATCGTTTAGCGAACAAACAGTTTGTGAAGCAGGCTCCTAATCAATGTCAAGCGAAAAAACCCATTGGAACCATCGTTTTGCAATCACAATAGCGATCGCAAAAAACTCATCGTAAAGCGATTTCAACATCATGCGGGCTAAGCGTCAAGCGGGGCACTACTGTAAGTATGCAAGAACACTTCCACCCCCAAGAGAGCTGAGTTCTCTTTTACTGACCCTGGAAGAATGGCAGGCTGGCTACCTGAACCTATCAGGATCAAACTCAAGTAATGAACAGAGGCTTGACTGCAGTACTGCAGCTTAACCACTGTACCACATATGTACATTGCATTTTCTTATGCTGTAGCTTTTCTCTCTTTTCTGATTCAATGCAAGTGAAATTGTCCACCTTTAATTCTCCTTCATAAAGCTGTCATAAAGCTGTTTTAAGCTCTGTAGTTTACTGAAAGCAATAATTATTATAACAAAATGGTTCCAACCACATTTCACAAAGTTTTGCTTTCCAATCAAGGAAACTGTATAAACAGAATGTGGAACTAGAAATGCCTTTGGGCTGATCCAGTATGGTTCTTTGGCATCTTCTTATGTCCCGATACATAGGCTACAATATAATTAATCAGTTGGGAATTTAGAATGTTAAAATTTACAGTAATATCCAGCTGTGTTGTTTCTAACTATAGCAGAAGGAATGGTAGCTACTATTCTAGGCGACCTCTCTGAAAATATGGTTCTTAGCTGCCTAAGAGCCTCCAAGATCTATTGAATAGATTGCTCCACTGAGTCTATCTGTCTACTTTTTCCTAAGTCCAATTTAGATCCCCCCCTCCCCAAAACGAGGCCAGTTACAAAAATACTAATGTGTTCTTCAAATGATTCAGGGTTTCAGGGCTCTCACCTTTACTAGCCAGGGGCCAGACTGCAAAACTGTGCTTCTAATTCAGTTTTCACTCTTGCTATATCCTAGCCGACAGAAGATATCCTAGCCGACAGAGGATGTCCAGAGTTGGGATGTGTCTGGGAACATGCTCCATATTTCATGCTAAGTTTGCCACCCCTTAGCCCTACTAATTCCCCCAACTCAAAAAACAAAAAAAAAACAAAAAACCAAGAGGCTTTCTGATTAATGGCAGAAGTGGCAGTACCTCTAGATCTAGCAGTGGAAAAATTAAATAATATTGATGGGAAAACTAATAAAACATATCAAAAAGTTGAAGGTCTATGTGTTTATAAGGCGATTTTCCTAATTATTTTCCTAATTGTTAATCTATTAGTTATGCTCCTTTTAAAAATGAATTGTTTGAACGTGTTTTACCAGTTTTATTGTATTGTATTAGCTACTAGTCTTATTGTATTTACTATTTGTAAGCCACTTTGGTATTTTTAAATGAAAAATGGTATAGAAATATTCTAAAATAAAAAAAAATAGAAGCAACAGGGATAACTGGCACTCAAGGTCAAACTTCCACTCCCCATAGGATGGAACTTTCCCTCCAAACCCATGACAGACAGGTAACATCAGTGCTGTATGTAACAACTGGCACTCAAGGTCAAGGTGAAATGAATTTGGTAAGGAAGACTTTAATTTAATAATTATTATTATTATGTGCTGTCAAGCAGATTCCAATTTACAGCAATCCTCCCAGGATTTTCTAACATACAGCACTCAGAAGTGGTGCTTTATTAATTTAAAAGATTCGTATTTTTCTAAGTCTCAAAACAAGATTTAGTGTCATGCCTTTATATAAGAAGAAATGTGAAGACAATGCTACATAAAAAGGCCTTCCCCAACCTAATGCACTTGAGTATTGTGCACAAAGCCATATTCACATTCTCGTATTTCTCTTAACGTATGTCAAATTAACATATAAAGTAGCTTTTTATACATATCTTATTATGGTGCTATCCCCAGTTATTGCTGTTGGCCTATTTTATTTTATTTTATTTTATGGAATTGCTGTATTCTTTTCATTTAAATATCAAAGTTGCTTACAACAGCAAATACAATACAAAGAGTAGCTGAAAGAATAAAACAATAAACTCAGTAAAATCCATACAAACAATTTAATTATTTAAAAAGCATAACTGATAATGTTAATAACTAGGAATATAGATTACATATCCCATCATCCTAAACTACTAGCCATCAGGCAGTGGTTAGAGTAAAAGGAGTTGTAGTTCAACATGATCTGCTGAGGCTGACATATTAAATGCAGAATTTCTAGAGAGGATTAGTTGAGAAACTTGGCATAAAACTTGAAATTTGCATACACAGAAGAATCTTTCCCAACCCATGGAATGACAGAATAAAGAATGAAGAGTTACTTCATTGGATAGGAAAACAAAAAGAAATAGGAATCAGCCATATACCATCTTCTGGAAGAAAAAGCAGAAGAAATAAGAGGTGAAGTGAAAAGGATCCTATGAAAAGCAAAAACCCCAAACAGCAACATAACAAGAAAGATGAGAAATGCAATCAAGTCCCTAAACTCAGATTCTGACATCATCATTCTGCCAGCAGACAAAGGCAACACCACAGTAATCATGCAAACAGAAGAATACAAGGACAAAATCAGGGAACTTCTAGACCCCACCACCTACAGAAAACTGAAACGGGACCCAACCAACAAAGTCACAAAACAAACAAACATGCTGATCAGGAGTTCCTCCCTGCATATCAACATCCTTCAATGAATCTACAAGACAGAAGCTCTCCCATCAAGACTATATGGATTCCCCCAAATCCACAAAGACTCAATCCCACTCAGGCCCACTGGAACTGCCATCAGCTCCCCAACATATGAATTAGCAAAACACTTAGCCACCCACCTACAAACACACATTGGACAAACCTCATCCTACATCAAAGACTCAGGACGTTTCATAACCAAGATCAGCACCCTAAAACTCAACCCCAGGGACAGACTGATCAGCTTCGACATAGTATCCCTATTCCCCAAGGTACCAATAAAGGACACTCTGACACTCATTCAGATCTTTCCAGAAGACATAATGGCCTTTTTCCAGAAGACATCATGGCCCTTTTCCAACACTGTCTAACGAACAGCTACTTTTAGTGGGATAATGATTTCTAATGAACAGACAGATGGAATGACAGTGGGGAGGCCCCTCAGCCCGGTTCTAGCAAACTTCTACATGGAACATTTTGAAAAATAGGCCCTGGCTTTGGCACTCTTCACACCCACAGTCTAGTTCTGACATGTGAATGACAGCTTCACAATTTGGAACTATGGTGAAGAAAAACTGGAAGAATTTCTAAACCATCTCAATAGCATTCACCCAAATATACAATCCATAATGGAAAAAGAAATAAAGGGCCAACTCCCTTTCTTAGATGTCATGGTCATATGCAAACCTGACCTCCTATTGGGACATGAGGTCTACAGAAAATCCACCCACACAGATTGGTACCTACACAAAAACTCCAACCACCACCCACACAGACCGGTACCTACACAATAACTCCAATCACCACCCACAAAAAAAGAGAGGCATAATCAAAACACTGGTAGACAGTGCGAATCATAACTGTGAAGCTCAATTTCTCAGCACTGAACCCAACCATCTGAATTGGGCCCTACAGGCAAATGGCTATTCCAAGAATGAAATCACAAGAGCCATCAAACCAAGAAAACAACACCAAACTGAAGAGGAAAAACAGACACCCACAAATAAAGTATTACTGCCATACATCAAAGGGGTCACAGACCGCATGGGGAACCTTTTGAAGAAACACAACCTAGAAACAGTAATCAAGCCCACCACAAAAATACAACACATGTTACGGTCAGCAAAGGACAGAAGGGACCCCCTCACCACTGCAGGAATATACCGGATACCTTGCAGTTGTGGCCAGGTATATATTGGATCCACAAAATGCAACATCCACACCAGAATCAATTAACATGAAAGACACTGCAGACTAAAATAACCAGAAAAATTGGCAGCAAGACGATTTTAATTCGTGCCACTGAAATCGCTGTCTTGTGAAACCATCGTCTTGTAAAAAGTGTTTCCCCATTGGAATGCACTGAAACCTGTTTAATGCGTTCCAATGGGGAAAAATCGTCATCGACCAGCGAAAATCACCCATAGGGAAGCTGCTTTGCGAAGCGCCAATCAGCTGTTTTAAACTGCTGTCTTCCGAAAAACGGGCCCGAAAACACTCATTTTGCAAAGATTTTGTGAAGCCGACAATCAGCTGTAAAAATCATCGTCTTGCGAAAAAAACGGTCCACGAAGCATGGACCAAATCGTCGTCCAGCAAAATTCCCCCATAGGAATCACTGTTTTGCGAAGCAAAATGGCGGTCACAAAACTTCGTCGTCATGCGGATTCGTTTTGAGGGGTAATCGTCTTGCGAGGTACCACTGTAGCTAAACATGCCCTGAAACAAGCTGGACATGAAATCCTATTTCAAAACACAGAAGTACTGGATAACACCAGCAATTCTTATATTAGACTACACAAGGAAGCCATGGAAATCCACAAATATCAGCACAGCTTCAACAAAAAAGAAGAAAGTCTAAAACTCAACTAAGCCTGGCTCCCAGCACTGAAAAATACAGCCTTCAAAAAGGTCAACAAACTCTACCCAGCCACAAGGACCGGCAATCACTGCACACAAAAGACTAGCTAACAACACCCAGCGATCACAGTGATAGATAATCTCTCCCTTATCATAACAATACACCCACATAACAAAAAACACCTGATCACAATAATCACCCAATCTCCTGAAAAGGACAAAAAGCTGATCCCACAGCTACAAATGCTCAACTATCCCACACACTACACCAGAACACAGACAGAGTTCTAACTCCTGTTCTCTGAAGATGGTGGCCACAGAGACTGGTGAAGCGTTAGGAAGAAAAATCTCCAGAACACAGCCAAACAGTCTGAAAAAACTACAACAACCATTGAATCCCGGCCATGAAAGCCTTTGAGAATACAATAGATGCTATGTGAGTCTAACTATTTGGTTAATATTCATGATCATACTGATAGAGTGGTAGAATATACCAGATGGGCGGGATATAAAGCGAACAAATAAAATAAATAAATAAATAAATAAAATATAAAATAAATATTGGGCTAACTCAATGGAAGACTAAACCAAACGGGAGATATACTATGATGTTAACAGGAGAGAATAAACAGTTTTATAGGAGTAAGAAAGGAAGGACAAGGGGCTATAATGTAGTAATAGTTTTCCACCCTAATAATATATTACATTCATAATGGGAAATGTTACCTACCAGCTTTTCAAAGTTGACAAGGTTGTCCAGAAAAGTTTTATTTCCTTCATGTATAAATGTTACATCTAAAAAAGAAAAGACCAAAATATTTTTATCATTTATTTTCTTCTACTCTGTGGCATTACATGGTGACAGATTTAAATTTGCCATATGTAATTATACACTCTTCAGTTTTCTAAGAATATATATAAGATGTACATTAAGACATCACTTGTTAAGGATTTCATACTGAACTTCACAATTCATAAACGTCTGCGATTGCATTTCAAGCCCTCCTCAACGATTCTGTTAAAGATGAACACACACACGTTCCAGGACTGAAAAACACCTCTGTCCTGATTTTAATTAAGCAGTGCATATTATTGCCTTACAAAACTCACTCCAAATCAAGACTGCTTCTTCATCCATGCTGTATGTGGAAAAGCCACAGCAGTTTTAGCTTTGGAACTGGAAGAGCCACAAAAGTTAAAATATAGTTAGAGTGCAGGCAAAGGATGGAGGTTTAGCTAGGGCTTTACTCAAGATAAGAGATCAGCTAGTGAAAGCCTCTGGGCAAAATCATGTTCACTGAGTGAAGTCACTGATGCTGGTGTTTCTCAATTCAAAAGCAAAAAGGAGTAGTGACATATAAGAGTTGCCATTAAAGATGGGGGTACTCATATTCATATAGGTTCAAATAATGAGGGTCTGGCTCCATGGGGCTGGACTGTCCACTCGCAATTTCACCACTGCCGCCGGCTCCGCGGTGGCTTCCTATTGCTCCGTTGTCCGTAATCGATTACCTAGTCCTGGCAGGAGGCGGGATGGCAAGCCTCTCTGCTAGATTGGAGAGTGGCTAATCCATTGCAGAGAACAGCATGGTAGGAAGGCTCTGCAGAGCCGGTGGCAGCGGCGAAATTGTGAGTTATTTCTACCTGTGCGGGGATATTCATATACGAATAGCCCACCTCTAGTTGCCATTCCTTTCTCTAAATGGTCAGCTTAGCTAATAAGTAACAAGCATCATGAGATCATATCCAGAGCTAGAGATTTTAAAACTACAGTGGTGCCTCGCTTGACGACGATAATCCACTCCAGCAAAATCACTGTACAACGAAATTGTCGGCAAGCAAAAGTAAAAAAAACCATTAGAATGCATTAAAAACTGGTTAATGCGTTCTAATGGGCTAAATACCTCATCCTCCACTGAAGATCCTCCATAGGGCGGCCATTTACCAGTGCCTGTTAAGTGAGGAATCCATCCTAAACACAGCGGGGAGCCATTTTGCACAGCAGGCGGCCATTTTGAAACCCGATGATCAGCTATTTTTAGAGCATTGTAATGCGAAGAATCAGTTCCCGAAGCAGGGAACCGATCGTCGTGAAGCGAAAATCGCCCTTTGAAACATCATTTTGAAAACCCCATTGTAAAGCGGATCCGTCGTGGAGCGGGATAATTGTCAAGCGGGGCACCACTGTACAGCTCTGTGAAATCTCCAGCCACCATGATCTATGTTCATGAAAGCTTGGTAATTCTGGTAGCTGAATGGCAGGGATATTCCAGTAGCTGCAGCCCCAAAGTAACTTCCCCAGGCTCTAAACACTGCTATAACATTGCATGCTACCATGCTTCTGGTTCCGTGTCATGATAAAAACTTTGATGCTTTTGCTGTGATATCCTCAAGCGTCCCTCTGCTGGGTTGGCACTTTACAACAGTAAAACACAGAAGCTCCTGTTCATGGATCCATTCCTTCTCCTACACAACCAGATTTATAATTTTGCTTCTTAACAGTGTTGCCTAAAAATCTGGGACTTCTGGGCCCTGTGGAAGATTTTTACTTCAGACTTTTGTTAGGACTCTTAACTCTTTGATAATGCTGCCACCACTGGTTCTCAAATTAGAATACTTTTTAAAAGTTATACATTTTCTTCCTTCTTCTCTTCATTTGCTGAGCTATGATCAAGCAGCCAGTAGGTCTTTATTACCTGAGAACAGCCACTAAGAAATAAAGAGATGGTTATTTATTTATTTATTTATTTAAAATGTTTTTACCCCACCTTTCTCCTTAAAAAAGGACTTGTACAAAACAAAAGGTGTTTTTATTTTTTATGATAGATTAACTAGTATGGATTAGAATAACAGTAATATTCATGTTACAGATATTTAATTTACTGTTTTATCTAAGTTAAAGTCTATCTGATCACATACCTAATCCTATCTAAACCTTATCCTAACAAACTTCCAAATCCCCTCTCTGGTGCAAGGCCACAGTCCTAACCATCTAATGTTCACAATCCTAATGCTCTAACTAAACATTCATTCACACTTTATCTATCCTGTCCCCTCCTCCCACTTGGGTAAAAGCAGCCATATAATAAAAAATTTATGCAGGCATATTCTTCTCTCTGCCCTTAACTGTCATAATTGTCAGAACTGTCACCCACCCAACACTCACCTATCAATCAACCTGTTCATTCTATCATGCAGCCAGCCAGCTTACCTCTACATTCAGACTCAAAAGCCAAAAACAAACAGAAGTGGACTGAAAGCATTGCAAGTACTGTACCTCTTTCCTAAAAAAATAAAAAACCCTGTGTCCAAATGTATTACAATGATCTCTTACACCAAGAGGCTACCTTAATTCCCCCCTTTCTTCTCTTTAATCTCCTTCTGCTTCCCGGTGTGAGCCTGATAAACCAATGCCACGTCACACTCTGACTTAAAAAAAAGAAAGCTTCCTTTCTCAAATTCTTTCGCAGCTGGCCATGCCAAACAGATGTGCTGATTCCTGCTCACTTTCCTCTCCTTCCACAATGTTACAGGTTCCCTCTAGTCCTAGAACCAGGGGCAGTGCTGCACATTATAGACCTCTATTGCAATGGATATTATAAACTGCTATTCCTTGCCTCATCACTGAAACAATCGAAGAAGGCAAAAATGCTACTGTCAGTGCTGATAAAGAAAGCTTTTTACTGAAAAGGTTGGGCAGGTTATTTTTTACTTGCTTGTTAAAGTGAAAGGCAGGATGGGGGGCAGGATGAAAAAGGGAAAGAAATTTGCTTTGCAGCCAACAACTCTAAGCCTAGATAAATCCAGTGAGGCAGAAAATTGCATCTGAGCTACTGTGTAAGAGTGAAACTGTTTTATTGAACATGTGAAAAAGCAGCCAAAAAAAGTGCATCTGTAAAACAACAAGATTTGCTGCAGAAATTCAATTACTTCAAAGAGAGCATAGCTGCCTAGATACTTTCGCCTCAGTTAATAACGGGATTATTCCAAATTTCCACTGAACATCTGTATTACCCATTTATACTGAGGAAGTGTTAATTTATCTTCTCCTCATCCCTGGTTCACTGAACTACCCACTCAGGACTGCTAAACTGTGCAATGGACTCTCTAATAATAGACCCAAATGACTGACATGATTTTGCTTCTGAGTTACAATCTTTGTTTTACTTTGCAATTTAGTACTATTTGTGAATTACAGATACATAGACAGAAATAAATAATCTTGGCTATGAAGTGCCATGTCATAGTCAATATGCATGTAATATAATAATCTTACAGGGTTTTTTAGGAGGGTTTTTTTTTTTTGGGTGGGAGCAGCCACCAAGGGGGGGAGAGATAAAATAATGATGATGAAAGGATAAAAGGCAGGGTGAATACAAAATTTATTATTTTAAAAAATCAATTTTAAGTTATACATTGTGATTTAAATCAATTTGATTTATCAAATCCACTCTGATAAAAAGGTGCTATAAACAATGCTTAAAGCTATTTTACACAGAGATGAAGCATGATCTAGAATAATTTTAAAAAATTCAGCACTACCTATGGAGGTAATAGCAGCTTTTTCTAGCTGTCTGCTCATGTATTTATCTTGGCCATATAAATACAATAAATAAAAGAGGATCCAGAAATTGTTAGTATGCTTCCTGTACCTAGAGCTACTTCAGAATACAGAGGTACGTTGCAAAAAATGAACTGAAAAAACCATTTCTGCACAGTGGAGGCTCTCAACATTTCTAAATGGTTTAAATCAAACTAATCATGCAGAAGAAGTTCACACCAGGTTTATTCCTATCTAGGGCTGCTACCATGAAACTCTCCCCATGAGAGGTTTGTCACACTGCTCATGCCATGCGCAGTGCATTCGGATCTATTCTAATTATACATGACTGCAAAAAAACAACAATACAAAAACCTCCTATGAGCCTCAGAACACTTGATGAGCAATCCTTAGCTATAGCAATACTAGCACTTGGAAAAGCTACTTTTCTAAAGTCATGCTAGCTGGGCAATCTGGGAACTGAAACTAGCAACGCGGCTATGATTAACAGTTGTTACAATTAGTTTTGAATGTTGCTATAGGACAATGCTACTGGCTTAATTACACTGGATGTTAATTATACCTGCTGACTGTTTTGAGAAATGAATTCAAGAACAAATTCACAGGGGAGTTCCTAAACATGTAAAAGTGGCATCCAGAACATTGGCTAATAGGATAAGTCTGCAATCATTATTTGATCCACATCAGACTTCTGAGAGCAGCAGGGTTTTTTTGGTCATGGAATACACACACCCATTTGTTGTACTACATCAAACAGTTTTAAAACACCAACATGTAGTAGAGGAGGTGCAAGACTGTGATGGAGCCCCATTCCTAAACATGTAAAAGTGGCATCCAGAACATTGGCTAATAGGATAAGTCTGCAATCATTATTTGATCCACATCAGACTTCTGAGAGCAGCAGGGTTTTTTTGGTCATGGAATACACACACCCATTTGTTGTACTACATCAAACAGTTTTAAAACACCAACATGTAGTAGAGGAGGTGCAAGACTGTGATGGAGCCCCATTAGTCAACCAAACAGTTTTAAAACACCAACATGTAGTACAGTACAGGAGGTGCAAGACTGTGATGGAGCCCCCTTAGTCAACTCATAACTTGTCTGACAAAATGTCTGCACTAATTTTAAAAAAATAATAATAATAACATCTTACTTTTAACAGGGCACTGTGGACACTGTTCAAGATGTCTACAAAGCTAGCAGTTAATGACTCTTACTAAACATATTATAATCCACCATTGCTCACCAGTTATTGAGACTTTTTGGTTCTGAGACATCTAAAAGCCACTCCACAGCAATACAGTACATCACTTCAAAGAACTTTATACAAATAACCCTTTTTTGATACCTAAACTTAAATCAATGACACCTATGGGTTTAAATGCCAAATCCAATACTTCTATTTTCCTTTAATAATGTCTGCTATGATAATACGATGTGTACCTATTTTTGGTGCCTCAACCCAATGGTACTTTACCTTGTTCTTCAGTGTTATTTTTCTTTTCCTTTCACTTTAAATCAATGTTGTTTTATGATGCCTTATTTAGATAGGTAAAGATAAAGGTTCCCCTTGACAAATGTCCAGTCCTGTCCGACTCTAGGGCACAGTGCTCATCCCCATTTCCAAGCCGTAGAGCCAGTGTCCATAGACAGTCTTCCGTGGTCACGTGGCCAGCGCGACAAGACACGGAACATTGTTACCTTCCCACCAAGGTGGTACCTATTTATCCCCTTGCATTTTTACATGCCCCCCCGCACACACTCACCCCCACACAGCCTGTTTGCAGATGCATGTGCACTCCAGGACACCCATGGGACCGCCGCGCCACCATGCACACAAGCACTCAGAAAAGTGCTGCGCCGCCATTTGTGCATGCGCACAGGGGCACGTGTGCCTGTGCGAGAGTGTGTGCTTGTTCGCACATGCACACAAGCGCGGATGGTGCCCCACCTTCCCCAGCCAGTCCGCGGACCGGAAAAGGTTGGGGACCTCTGATTTACATAATAACTCATCTTGTCTGCATTGAAGGGTAGTGGCTGTCAGGGATTAAACCTAGAACCTTTCCCACACAAATGTATTCTACTACTGACCAACATTTCCTCTGCATCAGACTGTTGGTCTGTCTGTACCAGAATTTGCTACCTTGGCTAGCTGAAGCACTCCCAGATCTCTCTGATACCTTTTTATTTAAAAAAAAAACTGATTTAGATATGAAAAGAAGTGGCATAGGCACTCCTATTAATAGCCCCATCACATATGCACAGCCTGTGGAAACTAGGATCAGGTGAGATTGAAGAAAACATAGATTATAACAGTACATGGTTAGAGGACATGAAGACAGCATAATAAAGTCATAAGACAGTTTTCTATTATGTAATTCTGTTGTTTTTATAGTGCTATCCCATGTTGTAAGCCGCCTAGAGTGGTCTATCGACTAGATAGGCGGGATATAAATAAAATAAATAAAAATAAATAAAATACATTAGAGGACATGAAGACAGCATAGTAAAATCATAAGATCACCAAATAGAAACAAAAAAGAGCATAAAACCTATCAGTATTAGCTGCCTAACAATATGGTGTATATAATAATGTGATATTCTGCTTTAAGGAGACCTTTTCTGCTGAATACGACCATTTCATGTATTAGGCAAGATAAATATACAACCAGGGAAATTATGTATTGATGCAAGCATTGCTTTTGATAAAATTATTCACTTTGAATTCTCTGAGCAAGAATCATGTCTTCAAGGAGGTTTGGTTTTTGTATTTTGTTTAAACCACCCAGAGTAGACATGTTCAAGATGGGCAGTATAGAGGTCCAAGTAAGTAAGTAAGTAAGTAAGTAAGTAAGTAAGTAAGTAAGTAAGTAAGTAAGTAAGTAAGTAAGTAAGTAAGTAAGTAAGTAAGTAAGTAAGTAAGTAAGTAAGTAAGTAAGTAAGTAAGTAAGTAAGTAAGTAAGTAAGTAAGTAAGTAAGTAAAGAAATAAAGAAATAAAGAAATAAAGAAATAAAGAAATAAAGAAATAAATAAAAATAAGTGAGTGAGTGAGTGAGTGAATGAATGTTTCATGTTTTAAAGAGTTAGTATGAACAAACAGTATTACCTTTAAGGAGTAAAGGCATGAAAGGTATTTTCGGAGACTTCATTTTCTTGAATGCATCCCTATAGGCTTTGTGATTCAGAGAAGGGTCCTGCCAAAAACAATTTGATTGTAATGAAAGAAATGAAGAAAAAAATCAATAGGCTCTTGAAGAACAGCAATTCGAATGAAGCAACTAAAGGTGCATTCATTCACTTCTAGGGTATCACACACACATGCAGGTTGAGATTATTCAAAGAGTGTTAGAAGCCAGTATATCCCAGCTGTGTATAATTACGTTTCAATTCAGCAATATGAGAATATAGCTATGGAATGAAAACCTTTTCATCAGACTGCCTACTTACCGTCAAACTTTCAAGTTCAGTGAAGAGCTTCTTAAACTTCCCAGGAATTCTCTGTGGTACAGAAAAAAACAAACAAACAAACAAACAAATAAGGCTGCCCATTCAAAGTATGCAGAAAAGCATTTAATATTTTTTTCAGCAATTCACACAAGTCAAACAAAAAATAAAATCAACAAGTCCTTCTCTGGCAGTTCCTTCTTTTCCACAGCACTAGAACTATTCCTTATGGGTAATGTTTAAGAATAATGTAAAACCTTTCAGCTTCTGAGATTCCCCACCCCACGCCCAGTTCATATTCATTCTCTCCACTATCACTTCTATCAGTACCACTTAGCTTATGAACTCTCCTGAAGTGTGTTTTTAAAGCATTGTATTTGCACTACATGAGTAGTATAATACCCTTAGAGCTTTAGATGTGCTTCAGGAGACAAAGGGAGATATGTCTACTGCTGTCTATTATTATAACTGCTATTGCTAATTACTTGAAGGATAGCCATGCAAAAGATGGAGCAAGCTTGTTTTCTGCTCCTGTGGTACAACTCAAATTCATGGATTTAAATTACAAGAAATGAGATCTCAACTAATTATTAGGAAGACTTTCCTGATGATAAAATCTATGAGCCATTGGAAGAGACCATCTTAGAAGGAGGTGGACTCTTTTTTGGTGGGTTTTACACAAAGGCTGGACAGTTGGATATTCCAGCTGTGGATGTCTTCCTTCTAAAGAGGTTGAACAAGATGATCCTTGGAGCCCTCCAAACTCCACAGCTCCATGGTTCTGTCATCAGAATTACAAAAACAAGCATCTAAACCAACTAAAAGCAAGAATAAAATATTCATATTACCTCCCATGTCTGTGAAAGCCGGCTTACAGATGCAGTGTTAAGACCCATAACAATGGCAAAGAATGAATTCAGATTTCTTTGGGCTTTGCAGCTAAGAAATAATAAGGCATAGTGTCATCTCATATTCATACAGAATAACATTTTACTGCAGTGAAGAAATACATAATATTAGCTGCTCCAACAATATTAATGTTATGATAAAAGTTATCCTCTGTGTGGATTTGATTAGATGTGACTGAAATATAATAATCCAAAATCTTTCTTTTCAGGCTGGCTTTCAACATGTAAACCACTGCTGAGGAAGGGATTTTCAGGGGAGATGTGTGTTCTTTTTAACCTTTTCAACATCTTTTTAAAATTGCTTTAAAGGGGTATATTTAGTACCTTTTAATAATTAAAATGTTTAATTGTTTTATTGTGCGAATTATTTTGTGATTTTTTAAATATTTGTGTTTTTAAATCATTTGTAAACCACCCGGAGTTCCTCTACAGGCAGAAAGAGGAAGGAAGGAAGGAAGGAAGGAGCAAGCCCTTACATAGGGAAGGAAGGAAGGAAGGAAGGAAGCCCTTACTTAAAGTATTGTTCTATTTCCTTTTTTAAACATAAGTAGGACTTTAAAACTTAAGCTTAAATTGAGTAAAGAGTAATTAATTCTGATGCCAAAACCAGAAAGTGGCACAAGCCTTTTGTCTACTCTTTCACAGGTAATTAAAATAATTTTGAAAAACATTTACAATGCTTTTTCAGGCAGAATTTATAATTTTGAATGGTGTGAAAATTTTCATAAAAGCTATCCAGAGGTTAACTAGCCATATAACTCAGTGAGTTAAGTAGCTAATTGTGAGTTTGATTCCCTATGGTGTGTCCCTAGAGAAAGACCAGTTTGTGCAGCCTTGGGTAAGCTGCACAATGTCATAACACCCCCGAAAGAAGGAAAGAGTAGGAAACCTAAATACTTCTGAGTATTCATGCCTAAAAACAACAACAAAAATCCTGGAAAGGGACACTGAGATTCAGAATCGACTCAATGGTATCTTATTATTACACAGTAGTCTTTGTTTCTATAAGAACAAAAACCCCTTCCTTAATTGCACAGTTCCTTTTCTAGGCAGCCTGCTAGTGGCATGATATGTGTGTTTTTTAGAATAAAGAAACTTTAAGAGACAATGGCCTTCCTTTCTTCCTTCCCAAGCCTACTGATGCAACCTGACAATCGTGCTTATTAAGCAACTCTCAAGTGTGGGTACATGTACATAAACATTTGACTTTTAAAACAACTGTGGAATTAAAAATCTTACCAGAGCAAGACTAAGTGTGTTGTTTTTCTCAACACTAACTAGGTCCCAATTTGTTCAGTGAAGCTTATTCTCTAGGAAATATGTTTAAGATTGCAACGCTACTTTAGTTACTGTGATGTGCATTACGATGAATATATGCAAAGTGAGTTTTAAAAGTCTGTTACTATACTCTGATGTGCATAAATGTCTGCATTTAAGAAAAAAGTTCCAGAAATCTCCTCATGAATCTTTTAGTTCTCCTGAAACAAACTGTCAAAATGATATAATTTTTTTTCTTTCCTAATTAAAATCAGCACTGGTTAAAATATTATGTACAAACGAAAGGGGAAATCACACAGGGAAGAATTTGTCTAACTGAAAAAAGACAGAGACAAGGGGGCCCCTGTTGCGCCATCACACTCTGACCAGGGACCCAAGGACCTCACCCAATTTTACCCCGATGGGTGAAAGATATAAAGAGAGCCCTGCAGACAGGGGGTGTAGAATTAACACAGGAAAAAGAGGAGGGAAGACTAGATACTCTGGCTACAAGGGAAGAATTCTCTCCAACCCTGAAGCAAAGGATAAAACAGGGGAGAAAGGGAGAGTCCAGAGACCCTGAAGACAGAGGAAGGAATTAAAACCTCCATTCCTGAGGAAGGTGGCAGGCAGGACTGGCCAAGAAGAGGATGAAAAAAATCCCTTCAGACAGAGATAGTCCAGGAAGGCAAGGAGGTGAAGAGAGAAGCTGAACCCACTGGGGAGGAGGAATGGGGGGGGACACCCAAGAAAGGTCCAGTAATCATTGGGCTGAGGAGCTCTGAAGGAGACACGGGGGAGTGGAACTACACATCTACAGAGGAGAAGTGAGGTGCATGGGTGCAGTTCTGAATGCCCAAAGGTGAGGCAGCCACACTGAATGCAAACCACCCCCATGACTTCCCTATTGGAGGGAAAGAGAGAAAGGCAAAGAGAGGTCAGAGGAAAGGAAATGATTCTGACTTACATGGGGTAAACATTGGTGGGGAAAGAAGGCCCTAGAACACCCACCCCAAACGATGAAGAAACTCCAAGCACCAGAGGGAGAATCCAATCACACCTGTCCTCTGTGTAGTCATACCGCCCCTCTCTTTGGAGGTCAGTGCTGGGAGGAAGGACCTTGTATAACTGGCCTGAATCTCTGAGCTCAGCCAAGAGAACTGAGGCTCCTTGAGAGACTGAAGCCTCACTGATGGACAGAGCCTGGGAACAGCAGACTCATAAAGGTGGAGCACGGTCTGTACTGTAGACTGGGATTATAGTTTCCTTGAGTCCTAGCTTGTTGTCTTCTTCCTCTCTGTATGTTTTAATAAACCCTGTTGAATTTTCTTTGTTGTCTATTGGGTGTGCAGATGCAAAGATGAAAAGTGAAAACCCCACTGAAGCTTTAAGGACACACACTGACTTTTAGTTTATACAGTATTTTCAAAGATAAATCACATGCACTTTCTTATTTATTAAAAATATGGTATACATCTTCCAACTACTTCATCTTTTTATTGTTAACCTTCATAGATCTCTGCGGGTTGTTAATAAATAATCTTGTTCCTGTTCCTTTACCCTAGAATTAGTATTCCCTAGTTGCACAGATTGGAGTTTATCTAAATTAAATCTCTCCTCACTGTTACTTCCACATGTCCTTATATCATCCTTCATTTTATTTTTCTGCATCCTCCAGTGTATTTTGTAGCATTACTGTAGCATTTTATTACTGTAGATTTAATTATTCTGAAATCTTTGTAAACCACTGATTAGTTAGTGGGTATTACTGCTCACATTTACATTACATGCATTATCAAAATAGCTCTCATTGTGATATTCTATAGAACATATTTTATACAGCAGCAGTGCAGTCTGGTGGCAAAATGTCACTTTCCTACCCACACGTTTTCGTTTATGTGCTTTGAAAACAGAATGTCACTTGAAGAAACTTGAAGAAATGGCCATGAATGTCCTGCATCAAATAAATATCATCTGCACAAAACACTGCATTATAAATTGTTCGTCCAGGAAGACCTTTATTCCAGCTCACCTGCAAGGTTGCAAATTTAACACTAAGGTACACAGCTGTAAATATCTACTCCAAGTACTGTATTTATTTACCTAAAGCTTTTGATTATATACCCATCTTTCAACACATTCCAGGTGGAGTATAAGCTTAATACGTATTATTACAGTCTGTGAAAATTATTTTCACATTTGCATTTATTTGAAAGTTACTGCACTGTGTCAACTGATACAAGATTTGATGAAATAATGCATTGTGGACAGGGGACAGATTGGATTTGTCTTCAGTGTGGAAGGGATTGTCACTTTCGAATTGGCCGCCTCAGCCACACCATAGTCTTTCAAGACTGAAGGATGCCTAACTAACTAACTAACTAACTGACTGACTGACTAGCTAGCTAGCTAACTAACTAACTAACTAACTAACTAACTAACTAAGCATTGTGAATATATTCTGCTCTTTAGAATTTTGGATCTATTGTGCTGATGTAGTTATTTGTGTGTGTGGTGTGTGTGTGTGTGTGTGTGTGTGTGTGTGTGTGTACATGCGCATGCACATGCCTGCACTCGTGCACTCAAATTGAGCTGGAAATCTGAGATGTAAAGTCCTCCCAATGAGATTTTGTTTTCATATTGCATACTGAAAACGTTAATGGTTTTTCTGTATGAAAATGCTAATATTTATCTTAGGAATATGAATATATTTTAAACACATGAAAAAATCTGTCTAAAATAGAGGGGAAATATTAATACTTAATCTCTATTATTTTAATTTCATAACTTCTCTGCAAGAGATTCTAAAGTACTCTGAAATTGAAGCCTCTCATATTGGAAAAAAGCTTTCACAAAATTTGCATGATATGTTTTAGCATTGCAGTAACTCAACAAAAAATTTGAATAGGGATACAGTAGGCAAAACAATGTGGCATATAGCATATTTTCTTCCATTATCCAAGTATGAACTTTATAAGGATTGCAAGTATTCCACAAAGGAGCCTAGTGCCAACATTCATATTGTTTTAAACTTACTGAGCAGCAATTTTAATGAACTTCTTCACCAGCTGTACACGTTTGCAGAGTTGATTGCAGAGTAGTATTTCAGTGGCAACCCAGAGCTGAACTTCATTACATCTTTGAAGCAGAAGACTAAGATTCACAGTGTTTTCCCCATTGCCCTGTCTGCTGAAAGTGAAGTATATCAGCTCTTGCTAGAAGACAGTTAAAGAGTAATTAGGCATTTTTTTTAAAAAATGCAAATCAGAACTTAACTATCTGAAAAAAAAATTAACTGTTGCTACTTGGTCAGATATCTCTTTTTAATAATTCATGAACAATCCTCAAGCAGTTTAGAAAGAATTCAGCATTTCTTAAATATGTTCAGCAATCACTGTTTCAGCCACAGCCATGAAAAATGTAAAATTAGTTTGGTATCCATTAATTACTGTAGGTTTCAGTTTGAGAAGAAGAATTCTATCTGTAAGCAGAGGAACATATTTTTTTCCTTTATTTAAATACATGAGATTAATTGCAGACTTTGGACTAAATCCAGTTGCTAGACCCAACCAGAGCAGACCTATGGAACTAATGGAATTTACCCAGATGCTCATTTATAATGTAGCAATCAATTTAATGGAATACTGTACTCTAGTTGAGGCCTTATACACAGACACAAGGAACTAAGTGGGATTTGACTCATTATTTACCTAGGCACTCTTAATTTCCATAATACTAAACTCTTATGGCTAAGTCTGGATGCAACCATCATTTCTGATGCTAATTTGATATACATTTATTAGCTTATGAAAACAGAGATCTAGGTTCCAATAGTATTGAATACTGATGATAGACATTTTCATGATGAAGAATCAATTGAAGAAGACATTATGGGATCAAATATTATGGCACACAAACACACAAAGATGATAGACATTTTCATGATGAAGAATCAGTTGAAGAAGACATTATGGGACCACATATTATGGAATTGAACAATAAGTGTACGAATCATATGCATCCACTGCTTCTTACCTCATGAACCAAATTGAAAAGACTCCAATCAAAATTTGTTAATTCCAGAGCAAGATCCCAAGTGTTAATTCCCAGAATCCTTACTGATCGTTGCTGGGTTTCTTCATTTTCAGCAAAGGGGTTCTAAATCAATTGGCAAATGGAAAGATTTCCTGAATAACCACATAATTGAAATTCCCACAATAAAGTAATATATGAATATGTTATTTTAATTCAACATTTTGGCTTGAAAAATTATGACTTTTTGGAATTGGACTACAAACTGTACAAAATATACAAATAATATTTCCTCCAAGACAAGAAGGTATGACGCAGCATCACACTGATTAGCTTTATTATTTTTTCTATGAAAAATTCTCCATTTGTTGACTTAAGATGTATGCTTTTAATATTAACACCTCAACCACAGAACAAATATAGTTACTTTGGTAAAGGTCCCCTTGACATTTAGTCCAGTCGTGTCCAACTCTAGGGCATGGTGCTCATCCCCATTTCCTTGCTGTAAAGCCAGCGTTTGTCCTTAGACAGTTTCTGTGGTCACGTGGCCAGCGTGACTAGACACGGAACGCCGTTACCTTCTCACCATGGTGGTACCTATTTATCTACTCACATTTACATGTTTTTGAACTGCTAGGTTGGCAGGAGCTGGGACAAGCGACGGGAGCTCACTCTGTCACATGGATTCAATCTTACGACTGCTTGGCCTTCTGACCCTGCAGCGCAGAGGCTTCTGCGGTTTAACCCGCAGCGTCACCACGTCCCGATAATAGTTACATAGGAGTTACTTAAAACAAGCTTCTCAGTATATTTTTGATATCACTGTGAAGTGTTTGTGTGACCAATATATGTAAATCTATAGAATGTAATGCTTGTGATTAATATGCTTCATTTATATTCTTTCTTTTCAAATGTTTATTGTACATGTTAACAAACCTGGCAGACAGATAATAGAAAAATAATGTTTTTCTCCATTCTTCTCCAAATATTTCTATTATTTCTAAAAATTATCCTTTAAAAATGATCAATTATTCTTACTTTCAGATCTAGCTCAAGGTTTAGGGAATCATTAGAGCTCCCTCATTGCTCTTGTCACCTGCTGCTGCTCCTTCAAATCTTTCTCATCCTTTTGATTTTTCCCCCCCAAGCAAAGCATGTGGGAAAAAGGATGAACTACTAATGTGGTTACTCCCTCCCAAAATGCAAGTAATCAAGCAGATTAGAACACAGAAGCACAGCGCCAAGGAAGAGAGCAAACTTCTGCCATGCCAGCTCTTGATATCAGCCCTTACTTTATAAAACATTGTTTTCCTGTGAAGCTTGCATGAAATTATTATCATGTGAGAGAGTATAAGGAATCAAATTGTGCTAATAATTTAAAAGGTTCAGTCTCGGTAAGAACTGATAGTGTTATGTAGTTAACATTCTATTTGAGAACACATAATTTATTTAATTTACAAAACTTTTGTTTGATGAGCAAATATATATGAAACCATGCATTTTATAAGGATGAAAAGTGTAGACAATGGAGGAAGCAAAACTGGCCACAGTATTTATATCAAGAAGCCAATAAATAGCCACATAGTTTTTAGGGTGATTAGAAATCTTTAGAACTCAGAACATACACCCTTACCAGAGTATCTGTTAGATCCTTTCGAAATACAAACATACGAGCAGATGACTCAAGGGATTTGGCAACTGCAAGGTCATTTGCTTGTAATTCATGTTTTTCTTTAACACAAGCATAGAAAAGAGAAATATAAACATATTTTGTAACTTAAAACATACTTCTGAATTCACTGCACCTACAATAACTAACTGAATATACATTTCACAGTGTGTGAGACTACCCGTGGTTTCTCTAGACATTTTTTTAACAATTATATCTTACCCATCTGCTCCTCCTTTAAGGAAGAGGTTGAAACTGCCATGAGAATTGGCTTCAACCCCAAATCAGAAAACAGTTTGATTCAGCTTGATTAGAAAGTTGAATCTTGATTCAGAAATCTACATCATTGTGTGTTCTACTGATTACCATGGAAAACCAATGAGTGACTATAAATGCAGTAGGGCAGAAGAGCAGGAAGAATAAAATGGAAAAAAGATGCTGTGCAGAGACCTTTTAATTCTCATGGCGTTTTGAACCACAATTCAACTACAACTCTCTTGCCACTGGCTTTGCTGTATGTGGTAGGAGCTATAGGCCAAAAAATCTTGAAGGCCCACAAATTCCTAGTCCTGGATTATAAAGTTATTTATATTTGTCAGAAATAAATGAAACATGCAGTCATATTAAACCCTTAGAAAGAGATTATTCCTGACAGACCTCAAATAACTGCCCCCTCTTTTTTGCACTGCAGTTTGTAGCACAAAATAATGTTTTATTTCTGACAGATTAAATAACTTTTGCAGGAATACTTACCCATCTTGACAGTTTAATAAGGGTAGGTGCACGGATTGATTGATTTATTTCAAAAGCACCTGTGGCATTTCCCTAAGCTTTGTTCATTTGCAGAAAATTATTATGGGAATGGCATACAGAAGGGGTGGCCTAGGCCAAAATAAATAAATAAAAATCTTTAAGACAGATTCAATATGAGTAAAAAACAGTGCAAGGCAGTTGTTGGTTTGTTTTCTGCCTAGTCCCAGAGATGACAGTAAATCATACATAGATGATGAATATGGAGCATACAGTGGCAGCCAGAAGGAAATGAATATTATCTAAAATTCCCAAAGTAATACTCAGTGCTGCACAATTCCGTCTCCTACAGACACCATCAAAACAGTTTAAACACTTATTATGTAGGGAGAGATAGAATGAACAAAGCTAACTAAGCACCACCTCAGCCCTGCAATATGCTACTTCAACAGTCCTCTCTCAAAGAACCAAGTCTGAAAAGCTCTTGTAAAACTATACCCTATGATTAAAGGCAAGCAATGTTAGTGACAAAATTCTGCTCCCTCCTCTCATCTACCAACCAGGTGTTTCAGTATATCGTAAACTCTGAGAGAAGTATATAATTTTTGGACACATTATCTGTGTTTCTGTGTCCCTCCAAATCCATGTTCCAATTATTCCATTTTATTCTGTCTGCTCAGTTGGATTCAGACATCTCTCAGATCTGTCTGAATCAGCTCGACTCAAACCAGAAACCATTCAAATCTGAATCACACCCCTGGTAACGAATGTTGTGGAAGTACAGCTTGGTGTTAATAACTTCTGCCACCACAGCGCCTCCTGTGAAACAAGAGAAACACTGCAAAGGAGGCACATGTATATTTTATAATAACCTGAATTTTTCTTGATAGCTCTTCACATATATTGTTTCTTTGGTAAGCCCTAGTTGATAGCATCGTATAAAACTACATAGAAACTCACAGGAGGATTTAAATTCCTGTTTATTAAGTAAAGAAAAGTTTGCATATGAGAAAAATATAGAAATATTCTAAATTTGCCTTTATTTCTTGTTAAAGTAGAAGAGTTTGCATGGACACACATTCTGCTCCAAAGGAGGAGTTTCTACAATCTGTAATAAATCCACCTGGCAATTTATGAATAAACTGGATGCCCATCAAATTTATGATTGAACATACCCCTTGATATTTTCCTTGTATAATATTATGATGTGATCTTAGAGTAAAAACTGAGACCAGGCCAGTCAAATAGATCAAGAGCAACATAATTTTAATACAAAGAGGCAGATGCCTAGACCTTTGACTTTTTAGCTAAAGATAAAATGTCAAGAGTTATTTATATTCTCGGCTCAAGGTCTTTTAAACTCAAAAAGTGTTCTTGCACTGCCTTATTCCAAGAAGCTTCAATTCTCCTCTCAGGCTATTTTGAATTATGAATTGAACTGGGAGACTTATTTGTTACAGTAAACCTTGCTACAGGAAAAGTCCCTTGCAACCCAGACCTGATGTGGAAATGCATTATCCAAAAGCACTGAATTAGCCGTTGTCATGGAAACCACTGCTAAGCAGCTCCTTATTTTAACTATGGTCATCCAGCTGTGGACCTTATTCTTACATTAGAAAATACCACCCATCTTTTTTAAAGATAAGATACAAAAAGGAAGAGAGGAACCTGAGACGACTGATAGTTGAAGATAATTTACCTCCAGAAAATGAAAGAGCCACTAAAGCCAGGTCTTCCTGTGGATGCTGAAGCTTTTCTGCTACGATTTTCAAGATGTCATGAGCTGAAGCAGATACTTTAGTTTTTGCACTGACATAAGAATGTTCTGTTATATATACACGACAAAATACTGTAAAAGAGAGAGAATTCCATTAACAGAGGCATAATTTATTAGAGTGCAAGATGTTTCCAGAATGAATTATTGCAATGCTTTCGTTAACATTTGGTTGACAGCCATTCTTCAACAGAAGACATGGTTGCTACATGTGAACCAAAAAGCACATTTGCCTTTTCCTAGAAAAACACAAGGACACAAACCATTAGCATTTTCAGATTAGAAACTGCAACACATGTAATCACCAACTAGGTTTAAGGTCATACGAGAACTGCAGGCCCCAACCTTTTTGGGGCTGCGAACCGGCTGGGGGGAGTGAGCTCCATGTGCGGGGGTGGGGGCACACCACACTCATGCGATTGGCGTGTCACAAGTGTGACACGCCCACGGTGGGTGCAACATGCCCCCCGCATGAGTGTGACACGCCCACCACGCATGCATGCAGGCGGGCGGAGATCCGTATTTGCGGCCCAGTTCTGGCAAGCCCACAGACGGGCACCGGGCTGCTGACTGGGGGTTGAAAACTCCTGCTCTAGAATATCTAACAGTATCACTACTAATAATTATTATAATCTTTCAAGTCAACTTATATGCTTGTCTGACTTATGGCAACTCTTCCCTTTTTTTGCTGATATAGCATACTCAGTCAGGAGTGTTTTACCACTCCCTTTTCGTGGCAATGTACAGCTTGCCCAAGACTACACAGGCTGGCTCTTCCCCCAGGAGGCACAGTGAAGAATCAAACTCCTGACTCTGCAGTACTGCAACTGAATAAGCTATCCAGTTTTCATAAAATGGACAGCTGTTTTCAAATAATATACGTAGCCAGGCTGGGGGAGTTTCATTCATTAGTTACTAGAATATGCCTTTTTTTAAAGCTCGTAGTAACCTTAAATCTTTAAAAATTACACTTAAATGTCAAACCCTACAACACCACGGAATTATTTTCAATATATATACTGTCCTATTATTTTTCTAAATAAAAATATTTCTAAATAAAAATAATATTTTTATTCTTTCGAAATCATTCTAAATAAAAATAATAATTTCTGAACTGTGGAATGTTGTCCTTCAGGAGGCTTGGTTGGCCCTTTCCCTTTTTTAGACAGGCTTTTAACAACTTTATTGGGCAATAAATGATTTTGAAATGCTGCACGTTATTATTTTGTTTTATGTGTATTTTAAGGTGCTTTTAGCTGTTTTAAACTAATATTATTATTATATGTTTAATGGTTTTTTATATAATAAACTCATTGCTAAATCTTATTGTGCAGCTCTCTATATACTAACAGGAATGACATCAGCAGCAATGCCAAATTGCAACTGATTAAAGATTTCCTTTTGAGTTGCATATGACTTTTGTTGCATTGTGTAACATTGTATGCACCTTGAAATTGCCAGAATCAGCAATAATTTGACATTGCTTATGTCATCCTATTGCGCAAGTTGGCATTTTTAAAAAAAAAAACAATTTGTGTCAACTTGGTTGCCTTCTCTGGGAGAAAGGTGGCATTAAAATGAAATAACTAAATACTATATAAATATGTAAAACTTATACTCACAAAATTGCTGAATAAAATCTTACCATCCTCACTGAAACATTTCACTGGCTAAGTAAAACATTCTAGATCTATTAAAAACTGAAATACATTTTTGCTGTATCTGATGTTCCAAAGCTTGATATACTAGTAACCAAAACCCAAACCCACTGAATAAATGGGATTTACATTAGTGTTGAATTAGCATTTAGAATTTGAATCAATGGATGTAGTCTAGTTTGGTGGCAATTTGATTTTGGCAACGATCTTTTACATTTGTTTCTAACATGCATATAGAAGTAAGGTATATTACAAACATTCCCCTTTTCTTTTTCCCCCATTATACTTACCATCCTCTGTTTCAGTCACAGTTCCTCTGTTCTGGAGCCAGTTCTCCTTGAGACTGAACTGATGTAAAATAGCTTTATGCTATAAAAGAGTTTTTAAGAAATGAATAATGAATACAGTTGATTTATTGCAAAATCCAAAATAAATCTGCAACCAATTTGTTGGGTAATTTGAAGAAGAAAAGTCAAAGAACATTGGCCCATTTGGAAAGTTGTTGTGGATAAAACACATGAAGGACAAAATGAAAGAACACAGAAACCCTACTCAGTTTTTCTTATATGTATATAAAGTTCATATCTGGATGGCCCCTACCCCCTCTGTCATCACTTCCATCACCCTCCTACATAGGGGCTGGGACATGTTTAAAAAGGACATTTCACTATCAACATAGATTTTTCCATGCAATTTGGAACGCTAGAAAAATCAGGATCCCAACTTGTGTGGAGAGCATCCATACATATATAGTGGAGCAATCTCTCCTTGCAGTTATTGCCTTCTATATGAAGAACAGCCATGGAAGGGATGATGGAGGAGCGCAGAGTTAGAACACTCTCTTTTAAAAATGAGCTTCATATATGGATACAAATAGCTGAAAAGAGCTTACGTATGAATGAAAATTAGTTCTGGGAGAAATTTCAAAGCTTAACATAGCCCCCAAAAGTTTCAGTCTAGTGAATTTCCTGACTGTAGCACATTTCTAGAAAATTTTATCTTAATTTTCAAGTACTATTTTCACTGCATTACTCAAGCATGAGCTACTTTGCTTTATGTTACTTTCCACCACCATGCAACATATTCTATTTACTCCAATGGACAACCTGACATATGTAATCAATATCTCTGCCCAAATCTGCTCACCCAATTATCTTGAGATTCAAAGCTATCTAACTCCACACAGGCAAGGACATACTGATTAGCTTGTGCTGGATTCTGGCATATGAGAGCTTACCAGTTAAACACTAATAATGCCACATACATTTTTGTATGACTTGAAGCAAAACTATCCAGGCAGGAACAAATGATTTTAGCAATGCTACCATTCTAACCCAGTTCTTTATTACTAAAAGGAAGCATGAGATGAGAAAAAGAGATTATACAGGAACAACCAAGGTGAAATTCAAACACTAGAAATGTCTGTATTACCTTTCTGTGAGGTGAATATTCATCTACAGTGCTGAAACAAGAAAAGACAATACATTGTTCTTTTTCTTCATAAGTCCTATTGATTCTTATGTACAATTTTTCCTCTAACAGGCAGAGAGAGAGGAACATTAAATTATATAAAAGGAACAAGTATAGACTGATTCTACATATTTACATGGAAACAATTCTTACTGTTTTCAATAGACCCTACTCTATTAGTCAGATCTAAGGCTGAACGTAACACCACAAGTTACCTCAACTGTATGTAATCCAAGAATATCATTAACTGGCACCATGTAGAACTAATTGTTGCCACGTGGTAGAAATGGATGTTACAAGATTTGCTTTGTTATGCAAGAGGTGTAACATTCAGTTTGCTGCTTGCTGATAATTAAAGACACCCCAGTGGGATTTTCTAGTGTACACTAAGCTGGGGGGTGCACATGCCCCCAAGAATCCAATTATCTCTTGATAATTGCTGGCTATGAATGCTACATTTTTTGTGTAATGAAGCAACAGGATTTCAGCCTCTGTCTAATCTTCTTGTGGAAGATGTAAACAAAGAATGGACTCTAAGACTGCAAACCTGAAAATAAAACAGCTTCACAGGCATACATGTAATACTCATATACCTATAATCATATTTTTCATCATTCTGTATACAAAACCTAAATTATATATAAGACCTATACATAATATATCATGTTGAGCCATCCAGTTTGTTACTTGACAATATTTAATAGTGAATCTTTGATAACTATATAAATGTATTTGTGTGGCTTGATAAACTGAAAGACATATATTCTAAGGTGATATATTTATTTAATTGCCTGACAGAACAGGAGGATAGTTTATGCTTTATAATAAGTTGAGATAATGATGTAACTAGAGCTAAAGGAATGGAGAAGAATGAAAAGCATCTTATGTATGGAAAAAAGGGTGTAGTATGCAAAAGGTTAGGAACCATACATATAACTAGCATACGAATTTAGAAATCATGAAGAATACAAGCTAAATATTATCAAGGAATTTTTGCTTTTAGCAGAACTGTTTCTTACAGTTCATATAGCTAACTGGAACATAACAATTTCAAAAGGAGTGGACACTATCTCAAAACAGGGAAAATCAATTATGAATCTTCATGATCTACATCTCTAAAAGAGGTCCTTCCCATTGTAAACATTAGTAGTTTATTAATTCAACAAGTAGCTACAAGTATTCTGTTGATGATACTAGTTATAGCGGAAGGTTAAATAAATGGTCTGACGGTATCTGAATTTTCCCCCTTCTGCCACCCCTGTGTGTGTCGAAGATAGTATTTCAGTTTTCTTTTTTGGTTGTAGAATGCAAAGCTTGCCTGAACAAACACTGATGCATGATATTATGTTTACATTGGCATCTTTACCCAAATAAAAAGAAAAGTTCTCAGCAGAAAAATAATTAATAATCCTTGAGGAAAAGAATGTTAAAAAACCAAAACAGAACAACTTACTGTCGACGGTGCATTCCAAGTAACTTTTGAAATTCTTTCAGTTCTTTCTCAAGTATAGGATATTCATATACATCATCTAACACATTTCTGTATATTGTCTTCAAAGAGGAGAGAGTTTGAAAGAGAAAGAATGAAATACATTTATGTGAGGGCATAGGACATCAGCTTTTTAGGAAATCAAGTACTAGCTTGTTAAAACAAAGCTTTACAAATATATTCAAAGCAATGTACATTTTCTATTTAAAATACAGCTACTAGTCAGTGGTAGCTGATACCTTAAGACAAAGTCTCTGTCTTGATCCTACATAATGGTGTTAAAAAGTGTCAACTGTCATTAGCCTCTCTGTGCCAATACTTTAAACTGACATCTCCAGCTAAATAGGATGTTAAAGTGGTTCTGAGAAACATCAGCTTCAAAATGCTGGAAGGAGGTAACATTTATGAAGTGTCAGAAAACACTGCCTACTTGCTATCTTGTACCTGCTGTGTGGATGGAAACCAGTAAAATGCATGTGCCCCAAAGCAGACACAGAGGTGAATTAAATGTCAACTAAACATGAATCACTTAAATCAATGGAATGTATGTTCATTTTTGATACTGAATCCCATTCTACACTAATTTGGACTAGGAGCTTTAGCTCACTCCAACATGCTTTGAATTGTCACAAATTTGGTGATATGGGGAAAACAAGTAACTTAGGACACATCCGCACTGGCATAATAGCTCACTATTTGAATCACTTTTTGTGCTGTTTGGTTTATGGCATCCACATGTTTTGACTTAAAGTAACCCATACCACCTCTGCTTAGAGCTTTCCTGCTACTTTTTGGCACAGTACTAAGGCTACAATTTTTTGGCATGATTCAGAACATTTTTAATTAGCCCCTTTTGTAGCCCATGTGGATGGTTAGTCCATACCTAATTTTTAATTAGCCCCTTTTGTAGCCCATGAGCTACAATAGAGCTGTGGGCAGTGTTATCTGAGTTAACAACCTTGTCACATATTTGATGGGTTGTGGCATTGAAAGGGATGAAACAGAACCCCTCATTCTCTATTTTCATCTACTCTACCATTAAAAAAAATTAAATATATTTTCCTGTTAATGCAGTGCTATTCTAGACAAATAAGACATATTGCTATTATTATGTATTGCTAGGTGCTATTCTAGACAAATAAGACATATTGCCATTGTTATGTATTGCTAGGTAGACTTCAACAGATGGAAAACCCTGATATCTGAGCGTTCAGCCTGGAGGCAGGCGTTGCATCGCGGCATCTCCCAGTTTGAAGAGACCCTTGTCCAGCAGATCGAGGCAAAGAGGCAGTCACAAAAGCAGAAAAATCAGGGAGCTGGACAGGAGACAGATTGTATTTGTCTTCCGTGTGGAAGGGATTGTCACTCTCGAATTGGCCTTCTCAGCCACACTAGATGCTGTTCCAAGTCCTCCATACAGAGCACGATACCATCGTCTCTCAAGACTGAAGGATGCCTGCTCTAATCTAAGGTAGATTTAAACACCCCCCAAAAGAAAATGTGGTGAAAGGGGTATTCCTTAATTGAAAGGGGGACAAAATGGGGGTCATCCAAAGACCTGCCTGGATCCTTCTCATTGGATAAAAATGTTGATCAGCATGAATGGAAGGATCGTTGAAGTGAGGATCACATTAAAAATAAGAACATTTTAGTGTGAACCAAACCATTCCAATGTTCCTCATCTGGATATGCCCTTGGTCTTGGTAATTGTTGATCCATGTCCCCACACCTCCAAATACAAGGATGGGGAAAATGCAGCCTTGGTCCCTTCCTCATGTAGTTCCCTAGATGCTCTGAAAAACAATTGGCCCCAAATATCAAATCATACTCTCTGAAGCCTCAGGAGAGGATCAATTTGTCATCTTAAAGAAACTGTTATCTTGTACTGGTTTCAGGATGTAAAGGGCCTTTAAAAATACCAGTAGAAGCAAGTCAGTCACTACCTGTTTGTTTTTGGAGGGAAAGGCTTTTCTGAGTCTAAAACACTTGGGCAGAGGATTATCAAAAAAGTAAACTCATGCTCCATGTTCATGTTATACTTCACTGAAATATAAGTGGATAAACATACCTTCAGAAACTGTTTTAAATGCTCATCTCCATGTAACCAATCTTTGTAGAGTGAAGTCCATTGAGACACCAAATGTAAGACTTTTCGCTTTCTACAGGAAACATCTAGAATTTCTTCCTTGCCTTGATGGCTTTTTGCACAATAAGTAAGGCATGAGAGGTCAAGGAATATTAAATCATGTATTGAGAAACCTGGCTGTTGTGTACTGTAAGTATTACAGTGTAACATTTATTAAAATGTGTTTTATTTTACCACATTTATTTTAACTTTTCATTAAATAATTCTAGGAAACATTTTCTACTGAAAGGCAGTCTACAAACACAGGGAAGAGGGAGTTCTGTTTCTGGACTGAGATGGTCAACAACTGAACTAAACTGTCCCAAGTCACTGAAACAATTAAAAAATGTTCTCCTACTTATAGGGCTTCGAGTATAATGCACACCTTATAAGAGAACTGTCATTAAAATAAGCCAAGGTGATGTGTCTGTGTGAGCTTAGGACATTTGATGGTTGTTTTTTCAATGCTGAGACACCAGACAAAAAGGAGTGAGGAGCCTAAGGTAAGATACATCACATCCATCATATCAAAGTTTATCTAGATTTCAAAAAGCGGAATCCTCTGAAGTGGGGAATGTCTTGATTAATTCTGCTAAAAGTTTGGAGTTCCATGATAAGCAAGTATCTACCATATCCCATGAAACAGGTTCACTTCAAGCACAGAGCTAATAATAAATAACTTCCTAAGTCACAGGAAGGAGAAAGTGTTTGCTTGAAATAAAGATCTAATATAGATGTGATTCATGAGATCTGCACTAAAAGAAGTCAAATGGTGAAAGATTATAGATTGCCAATGGAGATGCAAGATCAACCATGCCATCTCTGAGTTAGAAGATGATCAAAAACGTACAGTTGATGGATCTGTCACTGGATCTGCCCAGTGCTCCCCTCTGCCCAGGGAGATGTATGTGTTTCTTAAAAAGGATACACAGTTAAGGGGTTGTGAAGGAGATACCTTTGTGAAATATTTAATCAATTTATGGTGATTTGTCTTTAAAATTATAGATGAATATAGATAAATATGATTGGGTTCTTATCTTGAAGAACTGGGTGGGAGTAAATAAGGATATATTTGTAAATCCAGGGGAGAAATATAAGGGAGACTGACGAGAAAGGGATGTGAAGTGGTAAGTTAAGGTTCTGTTAGGTTAGAGTCTAACCTAAGCAGAGGACCAACAAGATTTTCTTAAAACATTACTGGAACATTATTTGGGGTGGGGAGAAGTGTCGAGGTTTAGAATAACATGGGATACAAGAATATTGAAAACCATGTCCATAAGAATAAAGGAATATTTTTATAAATTAGTTTGGAAATGGTATTTAACTCCAATGGAATTAAATCAAATAGATATTAATTATTCTAAATTGTGTTGGAGAAGATATCAAAAATAGTTACTTATTTCCATATGTGATGGGAATGTGAGAATATACTGAAATTTTGGCAGTTGGTTTTCAAGGAAATAAATTAAATAAGATAAATATAGAGGTACATCCCAAAATAGCACTTTTATTGATATTTGGTAAGGATCAACGGAACTCAACAATGAATTAATGTCAAGTTTATTAACAGTAGCAATATTAAGGGTAGCAATGAATTGGAAAACAACAAAATACAATTTTCAATTAAATGCATGATATAAAGAACTTTGGAATGTAGCTATTAATGATTAGTTAATGTGTAATATTAAAGAAGACTTTGATGAATAAGAGTATTTTATAGCTATTTGGGGAGAATTTATTGACTTTGTATTAAGAAATTCAAGAGATTTTGCACCTTCTCAAAAATCAGTGCAGTTTTGGAAGGAAAATGAAGGGGAAAAAATTTGGAAAATGGATTTTATCTCCAAATAGTCCCAGTGGAGGGGAGCATGTTTTGTATAACTGTTTTAGTTGATTTTGTGTTATTAATTTTTTAGGCATGTATGTTAGGCATGTATGCAGAGAACAAGCCAACATGTATAATTTAGTGAGGTCACACCACTGTAATTGTAACTGTAACTACAAATATTATAAACTCCTAAAGTAACTGTTATTATATCCCAGAAATTAGAAAACTGCAATAATAAAATTATAACTAAAAAAATTAACTATAATATCTCTGCCCCTATAAAAGTCCCAGTACCTGTCCACATCTTTTAAAAGATAAAAGTTCAGCTAGAGGCCTAAGTCCTAATCTGATTCATTATTGTACACTGAAGATGAAAAAAAACAAAATTATTCATATGTGAGACTGATTTCTCACACTCTTCTTTAAATGCAACCCCCCCAAACACCCTATGAAAACTGCTTCCCTGTTGTGTAGACTAGACACAATAAGCAAGATGGGGAGATTCAGAATTCCTTCTTCTTGCATTAATAAAGGATATTGCCTCAAGAGAGCTTGACACAAGTCATCTGTTGTCATGAAGACTGTGTATGTGAGAAGGAAGTCATCCAGGAGAGTCTCTGCAAAAAAAAAAGTTACAAAAAAGTTACAAAAATAACTAATTTTTAAAGTCACAATACAACTAAAATATATGATTGGCATATTACTGCTGGTGCTCAATCGGTAAGTGAAAGACACTTCAGCCTTTCAAAGCACCTGCAAGAATACAGTCAACGTACATGTAATTGTTTCACTCTAGGATACTAAAAGCACAGCACTAAGCAGACATAGGCTTAATTAAACTTTGGACTTAACAGAACTTTGGACTCATATCATGCTATATTTACTGTTTAAATTTATTATCCTGCCTTCCACATCATAGTTTCCAGGGAAAACGATATCAAACAAGACAAAGTACAACCTAAACAATTCAATAAAAGAGAAAACAGTTTTTAAAACAAGTGGATAAACACATTTCAATAAAGCAGACAGTTATAAAGAACAACAGTAGTTGCACATAAAACAGATCAACAAGTCAAAACCTCATTTAATTGGGTTTTGGTTTTTTACTTGTTATTGGGAGACCACCATGAGCATGCAATGCCAGCCTCTATAGGAAAAAAAATGTCAAAGCCTGGCCACAGCCATCCAAGTTCATTTCAGATATTTTTACTCCACCTTGGTTCCTTTAAGGAGAAAGGCAGGGTAGAAATACTTTAAACAAATAAATATTGGTGGAACAAGGAGGAAAGTCACTCTCAAAAATTTAAAAGCTAAACAGATTCATATTGGAGAGAGGGCTCCTTGAATCTTTAAAAGCAAACCAATTGTTCAAATTACTGTAGGACCCCGTATCTGTGGGATCAGTATCCACAGGTCCCCTTGTTTCTGTGATTTCAGGCATCCACAGTAGATTGTGGAACCGATCCTCCACAAATACAGCGGTACTACTGTATACTTGAAAATGTACTGATAAGTATTGAAGCTGTTTAACAGGTAATATTAGAAGAACCATGTGTGCCCAAAAGGAAAAGTAATTAAAAAAAATCTAGCCTTCTAAGAATGCATACTAGCATTCATTCCTGCAGCATCCTCAACATTGTGATTGTGATTTTGTAACCTGTGGTTTAATTAGTTTTAAATAAGAATTAATCCTTTAAAAGAATATACAATCCACTTAGTTTGCAGCCCAAGGATAGATAATTTTATAGTCTGGTATACGATACTATACTTACTGCTGTGAAACAGGAACTTGGGTATGGCTAATGCACATAATGCTATTCCTCTGCATAATCGAAAAGTAATTAAATGTCTTTTAAAATGCTAAAACTATTGAAATCTACACTGTGGCAACACATTCACCATATTGTGTTAAACATTAAATCACCCAGGACTATCCTTTTACTGACTTAAATTTTTAAAAATAGGTAATATTCATTGAAAAAAATTATATTAATTGAACCTATATTATTCTGGCTGCCTCTTCAACCTTATCAACTTCAAAGTTCTCTGCTTTAAAGGATCAAAAACCCTTTATGCTTTAGATGGAAGGAGTGCCCTGCTAGAACCATGAAACTCCATGGGTCCAATTTCCGCACCATTTGCACATTCCAATTTTCACTGAACTCTACATGTGTGTGAAATTGACTGGATAATAAGACCTCAGGAGGTTTAACTTTCAGTATTTCCTAATCATCATTCTAAAACACACACACACACACACACACACACACACACAAGGGCACATTCTTTTTCTATGAGTGGAGGTGACTCTTGGAAGGTAGGAGGCATGTTGACTGCAAATTATCTTCTAGGAATCTAGGGGTGGGGCTGGCATTTCTAGCTGTTATTTTTGATGCCAAGCCTACATCCTCCTCTTAGGGTCACCATCTCAACATAATTTGATACTACAACTTGATTTGCACACAATATTTTATCAGGATATATATGAACAGCGCCATATACCTTAGCTCAGTGATGGCAAACCTATGGCAGACCTGCCACAGATGGCACATGGAGACATCTCCCTGGGCACACGAGTGGAGCACTACCCCCCATCCCCACCCCGCAGCCGAACCTCAAACTGCACGATTGTAAGCCATCTGTCCCTGCTACCTTCCTTGGCTGTAGCACTTGGCACTTGTAAATCAGTTCTTTTAGAGATTAGAGACAAGGCTGCTTTATGGTTTACTGCTGTAGAATAGCCCGGGCAGTCAATCTGGCTTGGGAATGACTACTTCCGCCGGAGGAGGAAAGCTCCAATTAAGGCGGGAAGGAAGGTGCAAGAGAGGAACGGGTGGATTCATCAGCTTGTTTAAATGTATGTAAAGATTGAGGGAGGGAGTGTGTGTATATGTGTGTATGAGAGAGAGAGACTGACTCAAAACCATGAAAAAAAGAACTGAGGCAAGCAGGACGGAAGGCTTCAAATATGGCGGGAAGAAACGTGCGAGAGAGGGACGGGTGGATTCATCAAGCTTGTTTAAATGTAATGAGAAGAAACAGGGACATACTGAACTGATGCAAATGATTGCTGAAAATTTAGGGAGGGAGGTTGTGTGTGTGGAAAACTGTTTCTTTCATAAAACCATGAAAAAAGGAACCTCCCAAAGTGTTTGTGTGTGAGAGAGAGAGAGAAAGAGAGAGACAGAGAGACTCATAACACCAGAATTAAAAAAGCATTAAAAGCTAATCACAATTGGTGGATTGCATTGCATTCAAAAATACCCAGTAAATGATTTCGGTATGATTGTATTATGGTACACACTTGATTTTTTTCTGGCCAGCCTTACAAATTGCTTTCTGTTTGACAGAGTGGGAGGTGGAAGTAATGTTAAGGCATTTTCCACATAGTTCTATTTTTAATCCAAAATATAGCCCTGCAATGTCTTTTTCTGGTAAGTAGGGAAATTAACAAAAGATTTCCTGTATGGAGAATTAGTGCAGGGAAATTGCCCCAGAGGGAGACCACAACTGCAATAC